TTTTTTTTTTTTTTGGTTTTGAGACGGAGTTTTGTTCTTGTTGCCCAGGCTGGAGTGCAACAGGGCAATCTCAGCTCACTGCAACCTCTGCCTCCCGGGTTCAAGTGATTCTCTTGCCGCAGCCTCCCAAGTAGCTGGGATCACAGGCATGTGCCACCATGCCCAGCTAATTTTGTATTTTTAGTAGCAATGGAGTTTCTCCATGTTGGTTGGGCTGGTCTTGAACTCCCGACCTCAGGTGATCCGCCCACCTCAGCCTCTCAAAGTGATGGGATTACAGACGTGAGCCACCGCGCACAGCCCCATTCAACAAGTATTTATTGAGTACCTAAAAAACACTGGGCAAACATAAATTCTATGAATTCTGAAATGCAAAGACACATACCTCTTGTTGCTGGGTATGGGAGACCCAGTGGCTGCTCTCTTGGGGATAGTCCTCGGGCCACATCTGGACGCAAGTTCACTTGCATCTGTTGTGAGGTAATGTAATCATTTAAGATTGTCTGTCTTGTGTTCTCCATTGCGTAAAGCTGATACTGACTTGGGTAACCTGGAGTTGGTGAAAGCTGTCTCTGAAACAGGTAAGCAGCCGCTGCTGATTGAGAGAATGAGAGAAAGGCAATGAGTTTTGTCCTGGCTGAAATGCATTTGCTAAACCCCATCTACAAATATCATGTGCTGAGCTACTGCACATGGAACTTTTACTTAGCTACAAGGATTAAGGTGGATTTATTTTAGACCTTGATATATCAGCAATATCAATTCTAATTCATTCTACTGTCTAAGATGTAATGGAAAAGGGGAAGGATAACAGTAGCTAAAAACTTTTCAAGTAGTTTTACTTTCAGTCATTGACATGTAACTTTATTACATTTTTATCTGTCATCTGCAAGAGTTGCATTTGAAACTAAAATTATTTTTATAGCACTGATCATCCAATATAACCAACGAAATGTATACAAAACACTTTGTGGCAATCAATCAGCAACTTTACTCTCCAGGGAGTGAAAATGATTAAACTACAAGGATTTAATTAGCCCATGTGTATGGAGCAGAGAAAGGCAAACTTTTGACATAAAGAGCCAAATAGTAAATATTTTAGGCTTTGTGGGCCATTTCGCATCTGTCACAGCTGCTCAACTTCATCACTGTAGCACAAAGAGGGCTAAAGAGAAAAGGAATAAATGGTGTGGCTGTGTCCTAATAAAACTTTATTTACAAACACGAGTGGCAACAGGATTTGGCCAAAAAGCTGTAGTTTTTCACGAGAGAATGACACAAGACATGAGGAAGGGTTAGATGTGGTAAAAAGTAGAAGATAACGTCTCTATCCTTGAAACATAATCCAACTCAGGCTCAAAAACAAGCAAATGAAACCACTACAAAATGAAGACTATGATAAACACTAAACAGAAACTAGAAACATTCCATTTTGTCTGAGAACCTGAGTGACCTATTTTATATGTATATGTTCTCCCTAGAAAAACAAATAACAAGTTTTCTGGAATATTTGCTTCCCTTTCATCTAGAAGGTAGATAAATCTGTCAGCTGACACAATCTGGGAGATAGTGCCCTAAGTAATAGGTATTGGGCTCCTCTGAAACAGTGTTGTCAAGCAACAAATAATTTGATGGTATTTACACAGCTTTTGGATATTTCCCACAGATACTCTGCTATCATGAAATGTAAATAACCGTTAGAATTCTTACTTTTAAAATTTAGCATACTGGTAATGAAAAATTCTTCCCTAAGGACCAAAGTGAGACACATGTATTCTGTGTCCTTATTTCCACCTGAAGGACGTTAAGTAATAAGCAAAGAGTAATTTAGGCCAGAGAAGAGGTCTGAGTAGAAAACACGTTTGTGACTGGGCTCAGCCAATAGTGTCAAGGAAGAGCAAGGACTGCAACCTGGGAGGACAAGGTGCAGCCTCTGGTCCAGCAGATTATAATAGCCCATCTGAGCCTCTCTTAACCAACAGGTGTGACCGCTCCTCTCCCCTCCTTATGTAAAACACCAGGTTCTGTCTACCAATGTCAGTGGTGTTCCAAAGTTTCTTCCAGCTATACTTGTTACTAGAATTATGTAATTTAATGACATAATCCGTAAATCAAAGAAGAATGAAGAGTGGTTTCTCTGAAAACTAAGTTAATAGCTTTGGAAAGACTTGACAGGAGCTGAAACAGGTGTTGAATCTTATTCAAATTTATAAGACTGAAAAAAAAATCTAGAAGGATTTTTATTGCTTGGAAGTGTCTTTACTTGGAAGTTCTAGCTTTACTTAAAAAAAGAAAAACCTGGAAATGTGCATTTCTTTTCTATAAGAAAGACAGTAAGGTTTAATCAATCATTTATGAAAAAGCCATGGCCTGTCTATGGCCATACCACCCGGAACGCGCCCAATCTCGTCTGATTTTGGAAGCTAAGCAGGGTCGGGCCTGGTTAGTACTTGGATGGGAAAAACCCTTGGCCTTAGATCAGAGTACTGGTAGATGAACATCTATTTATGCTGTAAGTTAACATGTTTAAGGCATGCCTCTGTCATTTTAAAATAATTATTCAATTAACCCACTTTTTCAATTAGCTTTGCCAAGTGCCATCAGATCAGAGAGCTTTTCGTATACTATTATTTTTAGTTCTTTAATGGGTGCTTATAAGATTTTATTTCTTGATCTGGGTACTGGTAGCATGGGGGCATTTAGTTTGTGAAAAATCATTGAGCTGTACATCAATGATACACATGCCATTGCACTATCACAGAAAGCTGAAAAGTCATACAGGTGGCATATTTCTTTGCCATAGATTGTCACTATATTTTGTGTTTACCAGGATCCAAAGCCCTGTGGAAAGGCATGGCTGGATCTAAATGCGTGGGCAGGTGGCTCCGATAAACCTCTCCTGCAGCGCTGCCTCTGTGATGGGGATCAAACGGACTATGGCTCACGACAGGATCCACCCCAGGCACTGGAGACTTCGCTGGTATACTTTCCCTTTGGGTAGGGGTCAGTGTCGATTTCCTTTCATGATTGGTAGACTTGTTGGAAGAAATTGTAACTGGAAAAAAAGAGCCAATCCCACAAGTTCTTAAACTTGCAAAGTATGATAATATTTGTCCATTTCTCAACCATTCAAATACAGACTATATTTGTGTATTTTGATCTTCTCTTTCCCCTCAACATTTCATATTTAATATTGCAAAATACGAAAATGTAAAAAACTAGTGGAAACTGAGATCTGGAAAGTACTGCCACCTTTCGGATCATAGCACCAGTATTTTACATTAAAAATAAAATTCAGCTCTTCTTTAAATTTCATTATGAATGATTTTGTTGTTTGTATGACTTTAACATTCTAAATTATTTTGTCCCCACATGTAGTAAACTTCAATTTTCTCTCATTGCCTGTGTTATGCAACCTCCTTGCCACCCATTAACCACTAGTTTCACTAATTTCTCATTCCTTCACCAAAGTCTATCTCCTCCCTACTCCAGCCTCTCCTCTTCTAAATGACGTTATTCAGAGTAGTCAGACTGTCCCACCAATACCTATATATTCAAACACTTATTAGCCATCACCCTCAATTTTTTTTTTTTTTTTTTTTTTTGAGACGTTTTTTTTTTTATTTGGATTGTTTTTTTTTTTTTTTTTTTTTTTTTTTTTTTTTTTTTTTGAGACAGAGTATC